TGATGCGAAAGTAATGAAATTTCCGAAAAAGTTCGTATGCTAAGGTTCTAGACGAGGTTATACTTTGAACATCAAATTGCTGGCGATCTCCTGCATTAATTTAAATGAAACAAAATATTAAGTTCACCGCCTAGTTTTGACAACATACAGCCACTTCAGACTAAATAAATTATTGCCAGTTATGTAAAAAAAAGGTAAAAAATTGCAAACCTCAAGGAATTATAAGGTACCCACCAATTTTTATACTGACGAAAATAGGCTTGTACTTTCCGGCAATGTAAAATTTCATGCTCTGGTATCTCTTCATCATTCGAGGCTAATCTTTCGCCTTTTACTAAAGATTACCGTGGAGAGGAACATTACAATGAGCCTATAAATAATTTTTGGAATCCTCACCTTGATGGTGGGGTGAAATTTAATGAAAGAATATAGCTTCATTCCTAGTATTGTGCGCATGACTCCCACTACGAAAACAAATGTACGGATAACTTTTAGATTAATAGTGTGTCCGTTCTGAGGGCACACACGCTCCTTTTTAAAATTCTCTTTATCTAATAATACTCACCAAACTATCATTTTAGAATTGGAATTGCACCCTAGGAAAGTAAAATTCGTAAATGCGACTATCGCTTAGAAAATTAAAGGATGTGACAGCTCCTGCAAGACCTTGTTGCAATTTTTCCCTCTGTGATGACCTGAATCAGGCATGGGTCCTGGCAGCACTTATGCTCAGAAACAGGTTCTGCGTTGGTCCCTAATAACAAAGCGTTTGAAGGTAAAATTTCTTTGTTAACACAACATTGTGTTTAGTTAATTAGATTTTGCATTTGGGGATAATTACAAATAACAGGAAACATAAGAAAGACATTTAATATAGTAATAAATTGTATGCAGACACATTTATTTTGTAGGTTTGGTATACCATCTATACAGACAATTTAATTATTAATGATGCGATGCAATTAAATAAAATTTAGTAGTGACGTGAATCCAAACCTATTAATTAGTTTCCATAACATGCCTTTTTCTTCATTTAAATTTGGCAGCTATGTTTTGGTCTGAAGTTGTTCATGTCAGCTGTTAGCTCAACGTCATTCCCAATACTGCCTCTGGTTTAACTTTGCTCTTTAGATCAGTGTTGCCAGATCACGCGATTTTTGACAAACTTGTGCTATTAAGATTTTAGTTTTGCGACCTCCATAGTTTCCTTATGCTACTTTTTGCGCCTTTAAAGATTTTTTTAATATATCGTAAAATACTTACATGTTAAAATAATGTATCAATTAAAAATAATTCATATTAGAAAAACAGTTTATTTAGGCTTAAATAGAAGTTGTCATCTGGGAATCTGAATATGTTCAGATTCTCGCAATGTGACAAAAACGACAGTATCTAGAGCCATCAAATTTTGAATAATGTAATCCTCCATCCGAACATGGGCATCTGGACGGCCGAATTTCGAATTTGTTTTAATTTATTTCATATTTTGTAAAACTTTAATGAATTTTGGATTAACAAACTCACCGATTTCAGATCGAGCACTGCTGTTTTCAAATGTATGTGGTTTACGGGCGAAGAACATATTCAGATTCCCAGATGACAACTTCTATTTAAGCCTAAATAAACTGTTTTTCTAATATGAATTATTTTTAATTGATACATTATTTTTAACATGTAAGTATTTTACGATATATTAAAAAAATCTTTGAAGGCGCAAAAAGTAGCATAAGGAAACTATGGAGGTCGCAAAACTAAAATCTTAATAGCACAAGTTTGTCAAAAATCGCGTGATCTGGCAACACTGATCTAAAGAGCGAAGTTAAACCAGAGGCAGTATTGGGAATGACGTTGAGCTAACAGCTGACATGAACGACTTCAGACCAAAACTTAGCTGCCAAATTTAAATGAAGAAAAAGGCATGTTATGGAAACAAATTAAGAGGTTTGGATTCACGTCACTACTAAATTTTATTTAATTGCATCGCATCATTAATAATTAAATTGTCTTTATAGATGGTATACCAAACCTACAAAATAAATGTGTCTGCATACAATTTATTACTATATTAAATGTCTTTCTTATGTTTCCGGTTATTTGTAATTATCCCCAAATGCAAAATCTAATTAACTAAACACAATGTTGTGTTAACAAAGAAATTTTACCTTCAAACGCTTTGTTATTAGGGACCAACGCAGAACCTGTTTCTGAGCATAAGTGCTGCCAGGACCATGCCTGATTCAGGTCATCACAGAGGGAATAATTGCAACAAGGTCTTGCAGGAGCTGTCACATCCTTTAATTTTCTAAGCGATAGTCGCATTTACGAATTTTACTTTCCTAGGGTGCAATTCCAATTCTAAAATGATAGTTTGGTGAGTATTATTAGATAAAGAGAATTTAAAAAGGAGCGTGTGCGCCCTCAGAACGGACACACTATTAATCTAAAAGTTATCCTTACATTTGTTTTCGTAGTGGGAGTCATGTGCACAATACTAGGAATGAAGCTACATTCTTTCATTAAATTTCACCCCACCACCAGGTGAGGATACCAAAAATTATTTATAGGCTCATTGCAATGTTCGTCTCCACGGTAATCTTTAGTAAAAGGCGAAAGATTAGCTCGTATCATGAAGAGAAACCAGAGCATACGAATGTCACAATGCCGGAAAATAAAGCCCTACTTTAATCAGTATAAAACTTGGTGGGTAACATGTGATGCCTTATAATTTTTTAAACCTTTTCTGTATATAACTGGCACTAAATTTATTTAGTTTTGAAGTGGCTGTATGTTGTCAAAACTAGGGGGTGAAATTAATATTTCGTTTAATTTAAATTGATGCAGCAGCTATTGACAAATCGCCAGTAATTTGATATTCAAAGTATAACCTCGTCTAGAACCTTAGCGGACGAACTTTTTCGAAAATTCTATTACTTTCGCATCGTAAATGTAAATCAACATGATAACTTATTGTTTTTAATAATTTGATTGAAATATTACTATAATGCCTGACGTACTATTATTTATACCTTCGTATTGTATTAAAATTCATGTATTAATTATAATTAATAAAAAGCGTATGTTATGCAACCTACCCATAGAATAAACTTTTTGGAGAGTTTCATAAGAAGTTTGATACGTGAACTTTTTTTTTTTCAACGTACATTGGCAAATATGACCTAACCAAAATGATCAACCGATAAAATTTTGTACTAGATTTTAGCACCACCCTTGACCACGCCTTAACGAATGTTTTCAAAATAATTCTATCATTTAGAGAAAAATTTGTCCATTTTCTTCTGTTTAACTCTATTCTTTTCTGCCTAATTGAAGTGCTTCCAATCTTATCAAAATGCAGTTGGATGTTCAACAAATTCTGTTATCAATCAAAAAATGTAGTGAAAAATTAGGTCACACCCTCTCGTTGGATACCTAAGAGATAAATCATGCAGTGCTTTAATCTGCTCTTAATTACAAACATTTGAGTGATGGAAGGAAGTCCGGTTTACTCCATCAAGTTTCGAAGTCAACTTTTATCAGTTAATCAGACCAGTACCTGCAGGGTGAAAATAGTCCATTGAGGAGAAAAAATATGCAGATTATTTTCAAGTCATGAAACGAAGTGGAACTGTTCGAGGAGGAAAAAATTCTGCATTGGTAATGTGGGCATGAAATGAGAGCGTTTGATCTTGGTGCTTAGTTCAAACCAGTATTCCTGCATTGTGCTTCGATATAGTGCGTGTATGGCGAACGGAAATGTTGGCCTTGGTCAACTTATTGAGACCTGCCCAATGTGAAAATATTCTTTTGTGTTTTCGGTGGCATCCATGAAATTTCTACTGACCGTGGGATGCCGCCACTATTTCGCTACGCTTTGCGACATTAACAATGAGCAGAATGGTACCCGATACTTCTTATGAAACTCTCGAAAAAATTTATTCTATGGGTTGGTTGCATAACATACGCTTTTTATTAATTATACTTAATATATGAATTTTAATACAATACGAAGGTATAAATAATAGTACGTCAGGCATTATAATAGTATTTCAATCAAATCATTAAAAACAATAAGTTATCATGTTGATTTACATTTATGATGCGAAAGTAATGAAATTTCCGAAAAAGTTCGTATGCTAAGGTTCTAGATGAGGTTATACTTTGAACATCAAATTGCTGGCGATCTCCTGCATTAATTTAAATGAAACAAAATATTAAGTTCACCCCCTAGTTTTGACAACATACAGCCACTTCAGACTAAATAAATTATTGCCAGTTATGTAAAAAAAAGGTTAAAAAATTGCAAACCTCAAGGAATTATAAGGTACCCACCAATTTTTATACTGACGAAAATAGGCTTGTACTTTCCGGCAATGTAAAATTTCATGCTCTGGTATCTCTTCATCATTCGAGCTAATCTTTCGCCTTTTACTAAAGATTACCGTGGAGAGGAACATTACAATGAGCCTATAAATAATTTTTGGAATCCTCACCTGATGGTGGGGTGAAATTTAATGAAAGAATATAGCTTCATTCCTAGTATTGTGCGCATGACTCCCACTACGAAAACAAATGTAACGGATAACTTTTAGATTAATAGTGTGTCCGTTCTGAGGGCACACACGCTCCTTTTTAAAATTCTCTTTATCTAATAATACTCACCAAACTATCATTTTAGAATTGGAATTGCACCCTAGGAAAGTAAAATTCGTAAATGCGACTATCGCTTAGAAAATTAAAGGATGTGACAGCTCCTGCAAGACCTTGTTGCAATTTTTCCCTCTGTGATGACCTGAATCAGGCATGGGTCCTGGCAGCACTTATGCTCAGAAACAGGTTCTGCGTTGGTCCCTAATAACAAAGCGTTTGAAGGTAAAATTTCTTTGTTAACACAACATTGTGTTTAGTTAATTAGATTTTGCATTTGGGGATAATTACAAATAACAGGAAACATAAGAAAGACATTTAATATAGTAATAAATTGTATGCAGACACATTTATTTTGTAGGTTTGGTATACCATCTATACAGACAATTTAATTATTAATGATGCGATGCAATTAAATAAAATTTAGTAGTGACGTGAATCCAAACCTATTAATTAGTTTCCATAACATGCCTTTTTCTTCATTTAAATTTGGCAGCTATGTTTTGGTCTGAAGTTGTTCATGTCAGCTGTTAGCTCAACGTCATTCCCAATACTGCCTCTGGTTTAACTTTGCTCTTTAGATCAGTGTTGCCAGATCACGCGATTTTTGACAAACTTGTGCTATTAAGATTTTAGTTTTTGCGACCTCCATAGTTTCCTTATGCTACTTTTTTGCGCCTTTAAAGATTTTTTTTAATATATCGTAAAATACTTACATGTTAAAATAATGTATCAATTAAAAATAATTCATATTAGAAAAAACAGT